TTGCTGGATTCTTTAGAATCTCTCTCGAGTTGCAATAGAAGTTTTTCAGACTTTAGGCACCTCTTCCAAGTACACATCGTGGTTGGTAGTATTTAATTCCTCATTAGTTATTGGACATACACGTCTTATAATCTTTTAGTCAAAGGCTACCCTAAGTTCCTTGTCAATTTAAGTTCCCCTTCCAAATTGACAGCTTTCTTCATCAAAGTAGCAAATAGATAATGGTGGTGCATAAAAAAAATGGGTTTTTATGATATGATCTTTTTGACTCTGTGACAGTAACTCTTTTAGCTGGGTTCCTGTGGTAGTTACATAATCTGCTGTCAATTTGGAATTTGCAAGGATTAAGAGTAAATGGGCGGAGTCTAGTCTGTCAATAGGGTCACAGCCAATGAGGCTTCTGCCGTGGGCATGGCCTTCTGAGGATTCTGGGAACTCCTGAATTTCCTCCTTGGAGGTGGAAGACACTCTCTCTCTTGGCTTACTCCCAGAGAGACGCTCTACTGAAAACACACAAGGCACTACACTTATAGACCCCATGCCCTGGGAACTGGAGGAAACACGTGGAGACCCCTGCCATTACTGAGATGCTTACAAGGCCACTGGATCCACAAAACTTCCAACCCACTGGCCTGTGATCTTCCTGCATTCGGCGTCATTGCATGTGTTTCCTGAGTCTGAAGAGGACCTTACTGATTGATATTGGACATATGGGCTAATATCAGACTTATGGACTTGATCTGGCCTGAGCTGGGATGTTTTCTCAATATTCAATTGCTCTTGTATATAAACCTCCTTCTTATACACATATGCATGTTTATGAAGTTGTTCCTCTAGTCTACCCAGAATAACAGTGTCATTTTTTTAGTTGGGTGCACTTAGTTGGTTCCAAGTCATAGCAACTCAATGCACAGCTGAATGAAATACTGACCAGGCCTGTGCTATCTTCAAAAGTGTTCCTATGCTTGATCCCGTTCCTATGTGTATTAGTCTGGGTACTTTGGAGAAACAAATCCACAGCGGCTCATGGATAAGAGAGTTTTATATAAAGAAAATGTGCATCACGAAAACATCCCAACCCAATGCTGCCCAAGCCCACAAGTCCAACATTAACCCATTAACCCAACACCAGTCCACAAAGTCCTCTACCTCACAAAACAGAGGCAATGATGCCGACTGCAGGAGGAAAGCTGAGTCAGTGAACAAACAAGCATCTCAGCACTAGCAGGGGTCTCTACACGACTGCTCCAGCACCCAGGGCTGCATCGGGATAGGTCTATGTAGCTTCTCCTTGGGGATGTCTTGTAGGAAGTCAATCTTGCAAGCTGAAGCAGGGAACGGCTAAGGCAGCTGCACCTGATGCAACCATCACAAAACAAGAGACCCGAGAACTAGAAAGGCGAGGCTTCACCACCCATTTATCCCTCCTCCTTTCAACCAGCCCCACATGTGATTATCGGCCAGGCTGACACAATTAACTAACTCACTATGCATTTACTGTGTCATTCCACCTTCTTCAGAACTGTGATAGTTAGGTGTGCTTTGTGCCAACATGGCACCTATAAGAAAATATGGGTAAAGTTTAGCCTGTCAATTAGGTTGCAGCCTGATGACCTTGTTTGAGGTAAGACCTAGACCTATACCTCTCTGGAGTTTGACCTCTCTCTTTGTCTATCTTTACCTTAATTGTTGCTGGCACTGTGAACTGTGAGAACCCTGCAATATTTTCCACTGACTTAGATCCACAAGACTTTGCACTCAGTGGCCTGCGACATTCTACATTCGGTAATATTTCATGTTGACTGTGTGAGTCTGAAGATGGACTTATGGACTATGATCTGACTTAGGGAATTGAGTTGGACTGGGCAAGGATGTGTTCTTAATATAGAATTACTTCTTGATATAAAGCTCTTTATTACACATACACTGGATTTGTTTCTCTCATCAACCTGTCAACCTGGCCTAACAAAGGGTTCTCCTCCTTTTAGCTAACCCTATACTTTACCAAGCATGATATCCATCGCCATGGACTGATCTATCCTGACAAAATGTTCAAAATTCATGAAATTAAGTCTCATCATCCTTCTAAGGAGCATTCTGCCCATGATTCTGCAAAGACATTTATTTTTTCTTTTGGCAGTCCATGGTAATTTCATTCCTCGTTTCCCAACACCATAATTAAATGCATTTATTCTTGTTTGGACTTATTTATTCAATGTCTACATGTCACATGCATATGAGACAATTGAATATACCAAGGCTGGGGTTAGGCACAACTTAGTTCTCAAAGTAAACTTGCTGATTTTCCACACACTAAAGCAATCTTGTGAAGCAGATTTATCCAGTGCAACATGCCTTTTGATCTATTCCATGGACACTGATTATAGACTTGAGCAAGACAAAATCCTTGACAGCTTCAATATTTACTCCATTTATCATGATGAGATCTGTGGATCCAGTCATAAGAATTTTGGTCCTCTCTAGATTTAATTACAATCTAAACTGAAGTCTGCAATCCTTGATCTTCATCTGCAAGGCCTTAAAGCCCTCCTCACTTGCAGCGAGCAAGATTGTATCATCTACATATCACAAGTTGTTCATAAGTCTTCCTCAAATCCTGATACCACATCCTTCTTCATACAATCCAGTTTATCTGATTATTTGCTTTTCATAAAGATTGAATAAGTGTGGTGAAAGGATACAGCTCAGAGGCACAAGTTTCTAAATTTTAAAACATGTGTGGTAGCCCCTTATTCTGGTCTCACAACTGCCTCTTAATCTGGTACAAATTCTCCATGAGCACAATGAAGTCTTCTTTAATTCCTATTCTTTTCAAGGCTATCCATAATTTTTTTATGCTCCACACAGTTCAAAGAATTGGTACAGTCAATAAAAACACAAATAAATATCTTTCTGGTATTCTCTGTTTTCAACAAAAATCCATCTGTCATCAGCAATGATATCCCTTTTTCCATGTCCTCTTCTCAATCTGTTCTGAATGATTGACAGCCCCCTTTAACTGTCCTGCTGCCATGGTTGTTCAATGATCTTCAGCAAAAGATTACTTACATTTGCTATTAGTATTATTGGTTTATAAATTGTGTTTTCTGTTGGGTCACCTTTCTTTGGAATGGGCATAAATATGGATATGTTCCAGTCAGTATTCTAAGTAGCTGGTCTCCAAATTTTCTGGTATAGCTTAGTGAATCCTTCCAGTGCTTATTCAGTTTGTTGAACCAGTTCTATTGGTATTCCATTACTTTCTAGCGCCTTGTTTTTGCCAAATGCTTCCCATACCGCTTGAGCTTCTTTCAGTACCACTGGTTCTTGCTCATAGGCTCCCTTCTGAAATGATTGAGTTTCTATTAGTTCTTTTTGGTACAGTGACTTTGTTTATTATTTCCATCTTCTTTTGATGCTTCCTGCATATTTCAGTATTTTGTCAATAGACACTTATTGCACCTTTAAAAATTTTCTGTTCAGCAATAGGGCCAAAATATTGCAACACTATGTTTGATTTACTATCCTTATATGCTGCTTGGATAGACTGGTCAGTTTATTACCATGTTGCAGTTGACTATTACTGGGCTTGGGGGTTCTCACCCAATCTGACTTTTATTCAGATTGGTAAAGAAGCTGTGATAGACCGGATTCTCTACAGAAGCAGAAGCAGTAAGCAGTAATGTACACATATCTGCTACTTGTCTGATGGTTTGTTGTAATATGCTGTTGCTATGTTGAAGCCATGTCATGGGTATTTCAGATGACAGCTAGGTCACCTAAAGTGAACACGTTTCAGCAGAATTTCCAATCTTAGAACCAACTATGATGTACGAATGGTCTCTCCACTTCAGAGGAATTCACCATGGAAAATTGTATGACGGGCACAGAAATGTTGTTAGATCCTGAAAGCCTCGTGAATAGAAGCAGGGTATTGTCAGACATAATGCCAGAAGATGAGGCTCTCGGGTCGGAAGGGACTCAAAATAAGATTTAAGAAGAGATAGTTTCTCAAAGTGGTGTCAAAAATGATGCAGATGCAGTGAAGACTTTAAGAGTAAAGCCATCAGGACCCTCATGTGTTGATATAATGGGACTCAAAATTAGAAGAAACCGCTGCAAAGATCTATTAATTGGAGCTTGTCATGTATTAAGAATGAAAAAGGAAAATTGTAAGTCATCAAAAATAATATTGAAGCCATAAAGATCAATATCTTAAGTGTTAATGAGCTTAAATGAACTAGTATTTGCCAGTATGAACCAGAAAATAATATGGTTTACTATGCTAAAATTGAAAGTTAAAGAGGAAAGGTGTGTAATTAATTGTCAAAAAGGACATTTCACAATCTATATTGAAGTACAATGATGTATGTGATAGTTAAACCCATCTACATACAGGTAAATACAATCAATACAACTATTATTCTAACTACCATTAAAGCAAGTGATGCAGCATTTGAAGAATTTTACCAACATCTTAGGTCTGAAATCAATCTTGCAATCAAAATGCATGGATAATTATTTGTAATAAGGAGGAAGAGTTGGAAACAAAGAGGAACAGTATTTGGAAAATATGTCAAAGAAATAAAATTGGAGATTTCATGATACAATTTTGCAGAACAAAAATCCATTTCATCACAAAACTTTAAATTTTCAATGACCCAACAGAATAGACATATTGTAGAACAATCTCAACAATATTATATGCAAATACATTTTTGCTGAAATAATTCAATAGCTGTTGTATTCATACTTTCCCAGAAATTTATTGACTTGTGTGGATGTGTATGTTTTAACTATGCAGACATTTGACTTGTGGGCTATAATAAAACTAAAAGTAGCCTTGAGAGGAATGGGAATTCCAAAATATCTCATTGTGCTAACATGGAGCCTGTACATGGATCAAAAGGCAGCTGTGTGAACAGAACAAGGGAATGCTGCGTGTTTTAAAATCAAGAAAGGTGTGTGTGAGCATTGTAATCTCTAGTCATCCTTTTTCTTTAAATATAAAGTGCTTCATAAATTTTTGTATCATCCTTGCACTGGGGCCATGCTAATCTCTATATCGCTCTGATTTTAGTATATGTGTTACTAAAGCAAGCACCCTCTGACTGTACTTATTCAATAGGTATGCTGAGAAAATAATCAAAGAAGCTACAATATATGAAGAAGAACGTGGTGTAAGGATTGGAGAAAGATTTATTTAAGAACTTTAAATATGCAGATAATATCACCTTTGTTGCTGAAAGCAGGGGGATTTGAGGCACTTATTGATAAAGATTAAGGATTGAAGTTATTTGTGTGGATTACAACCCAATGTAAAGAGAACAAAAATCCCCCAAACTGGACAAATAGCTAACATCATACTAAACAGAGGGAATATTGAAATTGTCTATAACTTTGTCTTGCATGGATACAGAAGTCAAGAGATAAAAGGATGTGCTGAACTACATAAAGTTGCAGCTCAAGACCTCTTTAAGGTTACTGAAAAGCAAGGGTGTTACTGTGTGGACTAATGTGTGCCTTACCCAAGTCATGGTGTTTTCATTAGCTTTCTCTGCATGCGAAAGTTGGACTTTTATAAAGAACAACAAGAAGAATCAAACATTTGAATTATGATGCTGCTTCTGTACCATGGACTGCTGAAAAGAAAAACCTCTGTGTACTGAAAGAAGTAAGATAGAGTGCTCCTTAGGGGACTGGGTGACAAGACTTCATCTTACATTCTTTGGACATATTGTCAGAAGAGATCAGTCCCTGGAAAGGGACAATATGCGTGGTAAAGTGGAGGGATGGCGAAAGAGGAGGGCTGTCAATGAGATGGATTGACACAAAGGCTATGTCAAATGGCCTCAGGCATAAGAACAATTGTGAGGATGGGGCAGGACTGCAGTATTTTCTTCTGATGTGCATAGGGTCGCAGTGGGTTGGAGCCAACTTGATGGCACCTAACTACTACTACTACCACTACCACTACTACTAGTACTACTACTACTACTGACTCTCAAAAACAAGCAAATCGATCTTGCATGAAGCACAGCCAAACTTGCTTAGAAGCCAGAGTGACATGGTTTTCTCTCAAGTACTTAGATGTTACCAGGAGAGACCAGTCCCTAGAAAAGGATGTTTATCTTTGCAAAAGTACAGGGGCAATAAAAAGTCAAGAAGGTCCTTTTTTTTTTTTTTAAATCAATTTATTGGGGCTCATACAATTCATCACAATACATAGATCAATTGTGTAAAGCACATCTATACATTTGTTGCCCTCATTATTCCCAAAATTTGCTTTCCTCTTGGGTTCCCGGAATCAGCTCATTTTCCTTTTTTCCCCTCCCCCTCCCTTGCTCCTCCCCTCTCCCCCATGCACCTTTGATAATTTATAAATTATTATTGTATCTTATATTACACTGTCCGGGCGTCTTCCTTTCACCCACCCCTCTGCTGCCCGTCCCCTAGAGAGGAGGTTATGTAGCTCCCTGTGATCCATTCCCCCTTTCTACACCCCCTTTCCCTCCTAGTATCGCCACTGTCACCCCTGGTCCTGAGAGGTTCATCTGTCCTAGATTCCCTGCGTTTCCAATTCCCATCTGTATCGCTGTGCATCATCTGGTCTAACCAGGTCTGCAAGGCAAAATTGGCGTCCTGGTAGTTGAGGGGAGGAAGCGTTTAAGAACTAGAGGAAGGTTGTGGGTTTCATTGTTGCTATACTGTACCCTAAGTGACTCATCTCCCCACTACCCCTCTGCAAGGTATGTCCAGTTGTCTAGAGATGGGCATTGGGTCTCCATCACGCGCCAGGTCCTTTGATGAGAAGGATTGACACAATCATTCCAACAAAGGCTCAAAGAGAAGAGTTGTGAGGATGGCATAGGATTGGGCCATTTTCCCTTCTGTTGTTCCAAGGGTCACTGTGAGTTAGAACCGACTTACTGGCATTTAAAAACAACAACTATCTGTATTATGTGCACATAAATTATGTATATTATATATAATATATATTATATTATATATGAAATCTTCCTTCCTAAAATAGATTTTAATTAGAAAGGTAAATGATGAATAATTGTAAGGAATAAGTAACAGTAATTAATGTAAGTGAAGCATAAAATTAAAAGATGATAAATTTAAGGAAAATATAAATGATAAATCGGAGAACATTAAATATCATTGGGATCTCTTACATTTTGCAATTAACAAAAAATGCCAATGAAGAAAGTTTTACTAAGGTTTAATTTTTTTCTTAATATAGCACATATAAAAATCCTCAGATTCTGGATAACTTAGAAACCACTGAAATTTTGGCATGCACAATAGATTCAAGTTACTGGATGAGAATAATTCTACATTAACAAACTGAAACATGGCTCCAGAATATGCACTTTTTTTCTTTGTAAGAAACTGTTAGCAAGTTCCTATTCTAAACTGTCCCAAAATAAGAGCCTGAGAAGGGTATGCATTACTATCCTCTAAGTAAGCTGGCTGCTATTATAGCCACCAAACTTACATGCCAGCTGAGAAAATGTATGTTAGTTGAGAAAGCTATATTCTTAACGAATTTATTGCTTAGCAGGCACTATGGTAAAAATTATTTTTGTTTTCTTTAAAATTTTATTAAATAAAAAGGCTAAACTTTTATAATGCAGAGGACACTTTAAGATTAAATATTAAGTTTTTACTTAAGAGAACTTTTGAAGTCATATTTAGGAAAAAATTAGAAAAAATTTAAACCTTAGTAAAAGTTTCTCCATTGCTATTTTTTTAAATGCAAAGAGTGAAAAATTATAAGAGATTCCAATGATACTTAATATTCTTTGATTTATCATTTATATTTTCCTTACATTAATCATCTTTTAGTTTTATGCTTCACTTATATTAACTACTTTTACTGATTCCTTACAATTATTTGTCATTTACCATTCCAATTAAAATCTATTTTGAGGGAAGATTTCATGTATATATAGTACAGGTTTCACCAATTGCTTTTTACTGAAAAGCCTTTGATACAATTGCATGACTTTCCTTCTCTAATGTAATCATCAACTGATTACTTCAATATTGAAGAAATTATTCCAATTCAAAACAAAGCCCCTGAGTTACAGAGCATGAATTCCCCACTCTAGAATTTTGAATGCCAGACAACACGCAGAAAATATACCCTGTTTTTCAAATATATGGCAAGAAACTATGCTTCCAGTAGAAGACTAAACAAAGTAACAAAATAAACTTTCTACTCCATATTCTACTCCAAAGGGTCTCACAAGTACACATTGGTAATCTCCGTGTTTCAGGAGAAAGTTGGAGGAAAAATAAACATATTTTTGTCTCTCCTAAGTAATAGGAAATAAAGCAATAAATTTTGAGACATGAGTGGAGTTATGATAGTTTGTAGCTTCTACTAATAGTTTATAAAAACATGATGCTTTGTATAAATAAGCCCAAAGAATTCAAGTTTACATAAACAATAATGCATCATAATGAAATTATATTAAAGAGATCTGTTGTACTGAAAATGCAACTTGAGAGTCAGAAAATTATACAAAGCTACAAGTCAAAAGATCTGGATTACTCTATCAATAAATTACTCTATGAACAAGCAGGACAGCCTTGAATAATATCTATTTTTAATAATTAAATTCGTTTTGGATGACCTCTAGTATCTTTTTGTCACATAAAATATGTGATTGTGTAATGTGGCTTTTACACATGCATTGACAAACCAGAGTACCATTATCAGTACCACTTCTAGGTGATGAGGGGGGGTATGTAAGAGCCTTCTCTAGAAGCTCAAAGTCAAGTATGAAAATCCATATCAACTTTCAATTATCATAATAGGATGAATTTCAAGTATTTATTCTAAGACATTCTATGGTGATAATATTTCTATTTGATGTCTGTTTTGAGGAACCATGGATAATCACAAATCAGGAAGATGGTAGAAGACACACACTTGAATTTAAATATTTTATAATTTACATATGCTTTAATATTTAAGATGAAACAAAAAGGGATATTCAACATTCTTTTTGTTGATTTTTAAAAATCATTTTATTGGGGGCTCGTACAATTATTATCACAATCCATACATACATCCATTGTGTCAAGTACATATGTACATTTGTTGCCATCATCATTCTCAAAACATTTGCTTTCTACTTGAGCCCTTAATATCGGCTGCTCATTTCCCCCCCTCCCTCCCCCTCATGAACCCTTCATAATTCATAAATTATTATTATTTTGTCATATGTTACACTGTACGACATCTCCCCCCCACCCTCTTCTCTGCTGTCCATCCCCCAGGGAGGAGGCCATACGTAGATTCTTGCAATCGGTTCCCCCTTTCTACCCCACATATCCTGCACCCTCCAGGCATCGCCACTCTCACCACTGGTCCTGAAGGGGTCATCTGTGCTATATTCCCTGTGTTTCCAGTTGCTATCTGTACCAATGTACATCCTCTGGTCCAGCCAGATTTGTAAGGTAGAATTGGAATCATGATAGTGGGGGGAGGAAGCATTTAAGAACTAGAGGAAAGTTATATGTTTCATCGTTGTTACCCTGCACCCTGACTGGCTCATCTCCTCCCCACAACCCTTCAGTAAGGGGGTGTCCAGTTGCCTACCGATGTGCTTTGAATCTCCACTCCACACTCACCCACATTTACAATGATATGATTTTTTGTTCTTTGATGCTTGATACTGATCCCTTCAACAGCTCGTGGTCACACAGGCTGGTGTGCTTCTTCCATGTGGGCTTTGTTGCTTCTGAGAAAGATTGCCGCTTGTTTATCTTCAAGCCTTTAAGACCCCAGATGCTATATCTTTTGATCACTGGGCACCATTAGCTTTCTTCACCACATTTGCTTATGCACACGTTTGTGTTCAGTGACCGTATCAGGAAGGTGGGCACCCACTGATATGATTTTTAGTTCTTTGATGTCTGATAACTGGTCCCTTCTACACCTCGTGGTCAGACAAGCTGGTGTGTTTCTTCCATGTGGGCTATGATGCTTCTCAGCCAGATGGCTGCTTGTTTATCCTCAAGCCTTTAAGACCCCAGACGCCACATCTTTTGATAGCCGGGCACCATCAGCTTTCTTCACCACAC